ATCTGTTGTAGTTCCTGATTCTTTTTCTTTGTGATCATGTGACTATGATGGTTAACGTCATCAAAATTACAAATCAGACAAGGTGTGTCATTTCCTTGGAAAATATGCCAATATTCTATGAATTCGTCATTTTTAAAAGGTTCGTTGATATATTCTTGATTTTTTTCATATTCGTAATCATTTTTATGGAATTCTCTAACATATTCTAGTGGGTTATTCCATGTAACTTGTTTTTCATTTTCTAGAGGATTTAATTCATCCGCACTCTCACCTCCTGAAGGTGCGTTTACTAGTTTAAATGATTAACTGAAGAATTGAACTGTTGATTTCTTCCTGAAGAAGATTGTCTGTTATTTTGTTGATTATTCCAATTTCTATTATTGTTATTCAGATTATTACTGTTATAACTATTATTCTGGTTTTGATTATTTTGATTATTATTATTTCGATTCGCTCGACAATCTTTCGCCATATGTTCAGGTTTGTTACAATTAAAGCATGTCCTTGCATTGTTATTGTTGTTGTTATTGTAATTGCTATTATAATTATTATTATTATTATTAGTGTAATTATTATTATTATTCCTTTGTCTACAATCTCTAGCAATATGCCCAATTCGATTACAGTTACGACATATTCTAATGTCTCGATTATTGTTATTATTTCTGTTATTATTATTATTGTTATTACTATTATAGTTTGAAGAATTATTTTGATTTACTCCTAATTTTCGTATGAGTTGTTCCAATTTTCGATCAATAATTTCTTCAACAGATTCAGATGTATTATTTCTGAAAGCATTAGTTGGAATAACAGGTTGGTAAGTTGCAAGACTTGTTCTGGCTGGCATAAATCCTCCATGTAGATTTCTCAAGTAGTCTGGTATTAAGGAGTATGCAGATAATTCCATTCCCATTGAGTATACAGTTTCTAATGCTAGTGTTTTGTTAATAGCTTCTTCAATATTGTTAGGCATGGATGATTGTACTGGAACTATGAATTCAGGTCGCAATCCTTCAATGAATTCAGCAATTTTATCAGCATTCGTTCGATTGTTATATGGATCAATTCTTTTCCATAATTCTGTAATTTCAGCCACATATTCGTCAATGGTTTCTCCATTTCTTTGTTTCAAGTTTTGTAACTGATGTTTCCATTGTTGCTTCCTGAAGATATTATAGTAGTGTTCTCGAAATAATCGAACAAAGGATTGGATTGGAACAAGACTTCTCCAGCGGCGAGCTCCACTTTGATTAAACCAAATTAATGCTGTTCCTTTTAGATATGATGGTAAAATGTCCAACATTCTTTCCTCAGCAACTCTATTTGCAGCACATGCCCTTTCAAATCCTTCTAACCATTCTATGGGATCTTGATTACCTCCTTTGAAAGTTGGAAAATCAACAAGCCGAGTTTCCTTTGGGACTGGTATTCTAGTAAGACCTGTATGTGCATTTAATACATTGGTAAATCCTAATAATAATTAGTTGAGTAATTCATTACCAGTATCTGGAGAAGGATTGTTTCTTCTTCTTTCATCTTCTACATTCTTTTTTCTTTGGTTTGATAATTCTTCATGGATTTTTAATCTACTTCCAGAGTAATTTTGGACTGCTTCATCTGATCTTACCGATACATTAAAGACAGATCCTTCGTCATTATCACTATCATCGTATGTTCTTTGAAAAGATGTTGGAAATTTTTGTAATGTATCTAACGGATTTGGTATATTATTATTATTATTATTACCAGGTATATTGCTTTTATAATTATCACCAGTTATATAATCCTGACTATCCTTTTTATTAGAAAGCATATAATATCTGAGATGAGCTGCTTCAACTATAGTAGGTTCGTAATCCCTTTCAAAAAACCTACTATTATTTGCGAGATATGTCAACATTTTTATTCTTTCCTCAGAACTCACTGCATTCTCATAATTAGTTATGAACTCTGTATCATCATGAATTTTGTACATGAGTTCAGCCCATTTCAAATCGCTTTCTGAAGGATCACGGAAAGGATTATAACTACTATTTTTTGGTGGTGAACTTTGATCACGCGAGGATGTATCGACCAATATATCATCATTATTTCCAGTCATTTTTGATACTTTTGAACTTCTTCTTGAACTTTTCCTTGATACTAATTT